CGAAGTGGTTAGAGCGCGGATTACTAACCTGAAGGTCCGCGGTTCGAATCCGACCTCCGCCACTCGACTTCCCCTGTCTAGGCTTGGGCAACCTGGCAGTATCCCAGCCCTCGTGCTTCCTTCGGGTGGCATGGCAGCTAGGCACCGGAAGGGTGCTACAGCTGAACGCTTTATCTTTTTTTTATCATTCCTGATGCGGCTGCGCACAGCAAGTGCATTTTGAGCAGCACCGGGCTCTTTGGCTTTAAAAGTATTTCGACCGTATTGGATAATGCGCCGGCGGTCACGGTCAACCGTTGGGCGATCGGAGTGTGCTGTTTTTGGGGCCGACCTTTTCTAACCCGTCCTTCCTCGGGGGAGGGCAGCATCGCTGCTTCCATAAATATGGACATGCTGGTCGCCTGGGGGAAACATCTTACTGCCTTCACACTCTTGTCGCAGAGGACAGTACGACTTTACCCCCAGACCGCCCCGTACCACGATTGCTCGTAGTCCGGGGTCTCGCTGCTCTTGGTCTGGATGCTCCCCTTTGGCCTTCCTTGCATGGTTGTACCTTGTTGAACGAAGTTCCAGCCAGTGTAGCCCGCGGGATCATTGCAGCACTGAAGCCCGACCACCACGTCAAGGTGGCAGCTTTAGGTCGGGACCACCGTGGTGCAGTCCTTGCTTTAATGACACCCTCTTTGTGCCAGGTAAATGACTCCGCATGGCATTCATACTTTGTGTCGAATGTATTTTGCGCCCGTAGCGTTCATTTGAACAGTCTTTTTGGCCCAGTGCTACTCATGGCAGACCGCTTCGAAGGTCTAGGAACTAGGATAGGTCTGTCTCTCACTATGATGCCAAAATGGTACAAGAAGCCCTAGTTTTCCACTTCAGTAGTATTTTGGCTAAAGCTCCTCAAGAAAAATTCTTACCTCCTTGACACCACTGCATGAATCCTAGTATATTCAGGCATATGCAGGGTTTGTAGGAGCAGCATTCGGGGTGGGGACACCGGGGTTTGAGCACAAATGGTGTGTTAACATCGCCGTGGAGAACTGTGGGCTAAAGTGCGTTTAAGTGCATGTTGCGTTTGTTGAAATTCAGTCCGCTACGACAACCCTGAATTAAAGTTTGCAGTGGTGGATGAACGCCGGTACCAAAACACGCTTTTGACCATAGCTATTTTAGGTGGGTAACGTAGACGGCAAACGCCATATATTTTCCTTCTTATTTACGCCTGTTCTTTGGTTTCGTTTTTCACCTCGGAGATAGTCTTGCTTAGCATTCCTAATGAGATCCAGTGCCAACCTGTAATGATCGTTGAGCTGTAATACTCTTTCGGTGTCTCGCTGTCATGCTACCCGAAAAGGCGCAAAGGTTTGGGTGTTGCCAGATTGCCTAAGCCTAGAAAGAAGTGGTCGAAGTACAGAGGTTGTGTTTGGACGGCGAGTCTTTCGGTCAATAAGTCCGCGTTTTAAACTCGGAACTGTTTCGGGCTCACAACCCGATAACGGTAGAAAGACTTGAGTAATTTCCATACCAGGCAGCACTAGTCCTGCGTTCACCGGCAACTGAATGATGGCGTTATCGATCCCGGTAGGCATGTGCTGTAAGCAAATGTATTCATGTGTTAGAACTAGTGTCCTGTGCCATAGGAGATAACAGTCTGCAAGGTGTCGTTCACCTCATTTTTTTATTCAGTCCTAGTGTGTACCGGATCCAACCAGTTGACTTCATTCCCGCATAACCCATGGGATACGGTCCTCCTGCTGCATGAATAGGAATCACCAAGCAAGGCCGTACTACATTCATGTTACTCGCTGTAAGCGGCATAACTGTGATCGCGTTTAACTCCAATAGCTATCTGCTGGTCTATCCAATGCCTCACAAGAATTCACTCTCGTCCAAGGTATCCTAATGCTAGCGTTCCAGGTGGCCGACTTTTTAGCCACGGGAACAAACAACAGAAAACCCGAAATGATCAGGAGAAAATAGGGTTTACTGAACGTCAAGCATTTTGACGTCTAACTGCGGTCACTCGTCACCATTTTGATGGCGATTCGAAAAATTGGCCACAGTCAGGCAAAAGGCAATCATAGTGCAGAGTATTTTAAGATCCTTTATCGAGTGCCGTATGGATGGGAATTTTAGCTTATGTGTGAATCGAATTATGGTAGCGTCAGCCCACCCTAACTGCAATTGTTGGTTACAGGGCACGAGTTCCAATTGATAATCAAACAAAACGACAACATGGGTTCAGCTCAGCCAGCAGCTGTAATCAGCTCTCCAAACATCGGTGTATGTGCAGGAAAAACTAAAAAAAAACGAGTGAGTAAAATGGGATGGATTTCAACCTTCAAATGTATCAACCGTTGTTTCTCATTGCATGATGCGCACCGAATCTTTCAACACTCGACGTTCTCCTTACACGCAAACTGAGTACCAACCCCCGAGACCGTATGTTAGAAAACTTACCACCCAATGAGACGGCGGGAATGATCCTAGGTTTCAGTGAAGTAGAAGTTGGGCTATTAGTGCTATAAATTTCTGGCCTTTTTTGGTGTTATTCTTGGGATAGGTTTTGCGGGTAATAAGCTTAGTCGACTGCTTCTCCTGAGCCCAGTTTGTAATGGCTCTTAATCAAACTCTGAAACTGGTTCCCAACCTTGTAGTTCTGCAGGTGACTGCCGTTCGCTAATGCCGCTCCATGGTGTCAGGCGGATTCCCATTCCTTTCTCGTCATGTCTTGCTTGTACACAGACTACTTTGGTCTCTGAGGGCATTCATTCGGGGAGGTGAGAAATATTCGTTCGTGGTAAGTGGCATACTCTTGTCATTCCTTAGAAAAATGTACGGAGACTTGATAAAAAAATAAGTGAACCTTATTCGTCGAAGAGACATAGGTCGTACGAAATGTATTACTTAAAGTTTGGGTACTCTCGATGTGACTCGTCTTCCGGATGAGGCCTGTCTGTGCATGGCCGGAGACGCTGCAAGATATGGCTGCTGATCAATGTCCATAGCCTTGTTGTGGGATCCTATCCAGTGTTGTCTGTGCACGGAGACGCTGCAAGATATGGCTGCTGATCAATGTCCATAGCCTTGTTGTGGGATCCTATCCAGTGTAAGGACACGTGTGTGTGCAGTTGTAAGCACTTCGAAGTGATAAGCTTGCACTGAGTCCTTTCCATATCCTTTTCGTTCCTTCAAAACTAGGCCTTCAAATTAGTAATCGCTCCAGAGCAGCGGCACATCAGTTTTGAACCCTTCTGTGCTGCTGGTGATTATGATGATGATGCTTTATCGATAAACTCCCAGAGTGCTTTGTGTCGTGTGTTTTCGCTCGAGGTGTCTTGTTCACTACTGTTTAGTGGCAAGCCCGATTCGACAGTATGCACTCTCAAGTAGAAATATCCATCAAGGGAACGTATGAAGATACGGAGTTTACTATCATTGTCAGCAATAATGATATCCTGTGTTGAACACCTGTGACTTTTTGCCGGACAGCATTCCTAATTTAGTTAAATGCAATGTTTTTGCGTTAGAAGAGAAGTAGAGCGAATAGTCCTGGTGGCAATTCACCATACGTAGATAACCAGTCAAAAATCTGGAGAAAGTGACAGTCACTCACCCTTATACTGGTGAACCTACACAGTTGCTGGAGTATCGCCAGCGTCATTTTGGTCAACAGGTGCACATTTCGGGAACAGGCTCAAATGGTATTCAACCTTTCCACTGACAATCCCTTAGAAAACGAATCACCACAGGATGGTACGTTAGAATTAGTGGTTGGTAGAATAGGTAATTTGCTGTTCACCGATGCATTAAGGCCCTGAAGACTCCTCAGATCATCCGCTCTTAGAGATCCCGTCTCAGACATACTGCCCAACCAGCATTATGAAACTCTAAACTTGAGACTCAACAATATGGCTTATTAGTACCATCAGTTGTCACGATTGATTCGAGTCAGGCATTTTCGGACACTCGATTCGGCCAAGGTGTGTGAAATTCTCGGGAAATGTCCTATCTTCAGGTGTGAACGTTCAGAAATTAACATTGATGCATTGTTCCCTACTTTATAAGTGTAAAACGCATAGCGAGAGTTAGCCATGACGCTTACATCTGCTTACCTTCAGAGAATCGAACAAGGCTCCCACAAGCAGCGGTTCCATTATCGAGGTTTTGCTTACTTTCAGCACATTTGTACAGGAGTGAAGGAACTTGACGTCTTCGTCGTACACCTTTTGATGATAAAGCCTTCGAATAACTCCCCGCACTCCCCCAAAAGGGTAGAAAACGGCATTGAAGCATCGGTGTTGAACACTGATGTCATGCTGTCGATGATGATGTGGCCAATCCATTATGCCTTTTGACCACTTGGTTCTAGTTCTTTCATCTTGAGTTGGTTATGTTTAGAATAAGTTGCTAGGTTTATCCCTGAATGCGCATATTGCTTTAACAAAGATGAAATTACTGTCTGTCCACAAAGGCTAATGGGGCATGTTAATTGGAAAGTGGAAGTGTCTTCCAGGAAACTTGCACAGTCGCATGATATACACTCAAGTTTAAATTGCCTAACGGGAATCACCCGATCAGACGCCATTTGTATACCATTGGCTGGGTGCTTTCCTGGGGTAATAATTTGCGGATATGTTGCAAACCCCAACTTCCCCTCCAAGGAACTGGGTTGGCCGCTGGAGGAGTCCCATGGCAACCACCTCTTATACTCCCATTTCAGGTTTGCGCGGTGTTGGACACCGATGTGCTGTCGTTCGTGACAGCATTTCAAGGCGACTGTCCTCCAATCGTACGCAGTCCTCGTGCGTTAGTTAAGCACCATTATTCTCGCAGTGGTTTTCCGTGATATTGTCAATAGCCACATCAGTCATCATACACTAAGATGCATGTGGCAGTGTACCTACCGGCCGTGTTGACTGATGACGATCAAATGTTGTCATTCATCTTTTCGATAGCTTACTGCTATTGGTTTAGGCTAACCGGGCGGCACCATCGTGATCCCTGTGCAATCATGCACCCTGCTACTGGCTTTCTACTACTGTGCCCCCTCACAGCAGTCCTAACTTGCTGTTAGTGCGTCGCTGATGAGAGCTGTCATTGTACATTATTATTGAGCCATCTGGCCGACGCTAACTTCACCGCCCTTCAATTACGGTAGTGTTTCAAATTTTGTTCTCGCAGCATGTTTATCAATGCCTGAGGATCAGACCACAAATCACAATTGAACACTTTGTTTGCTACGTCCTCGGTAAGTAAACAGCTTTTTACTGTATTTACAGCTATAGACGCTCTTGGCTGTATTACGGTGTTTTTTCGACAAATGAAGAATACAGTTAATTCGCGCGACAGTGGCCCTGCTGCGAACAAGACAACTGTTCACTGGGGTAATGTGATAGATAGATGGGTGCAAACGGAGGCGATTGCTACCCTCATTCTTTATTTCCCATCGCATGTAAGTCTGTCTAAATTCCAGTTACCAAGAGACTGCCTAATAAGGACCATCTGAGAGAGTCTCCAGCGGCGGTACTTTGACCTTTCGACCAAGTTGACCGGTCTTTTTTTCCTACGGCGAGATTAATTCGAGTACAATACACCGAAGTCATTCGAAGTGGGGGCCACTATAGTGGGAGAAATATTTTCTCCCAAACTTGGTGAACAGGGGAATTACTCTCTTTTATTCAGGTGACTCCCAACTAAATAGCGAATTTCGAGCGCTTCTTTATTTGGGCTAGTTTTTTTTGAGGCGCTGTGTGACCACCGGCGAGAAAGCTTCGGCATTAAGATGCAAGCTTCAATCCGGGAAGTCACTTTCCATTCTACGCCCAGCCCCCCCGGTGTTCTCTTCGAGACCTGCACTACCTGGTGGCATACCAGTTCGCGTGTATTACTCATTACTGGTGGTTGCATTAGCCAAGCAAAAGCGGTCAACTAAGGTCATGTCTTGGAGCTCATTTCAGTGGCAAAGCGTAGAAAAATGACATAATTGTCCTCACTAGAGAGGGTTATATCAGAAAATTAGGGTACTCTATTCCGTGACTGACTTCGCTGAACGAGAGTTGAATAAATCGTTTTTCTTAGGGGGGTGAGATGACTCAGTGGTTTGAGCGCGAATTTACGGACTGGAAGGTCCATGGTTCTAACCTGACCTCTGCCTCTCTACATGCCTTGTCTAGGCCCGAGCAACCTGGCAATATCCCAACCCTCGTCCTTCCTTTGGGTGGCATAGCAGTTAGGCACGGAAAGGGTGCTACAGCTGTGATTTTTTCTCAGGACTTATATCTGGCAAAACAAAACAGGTTACAGGATCCGAAGTCCTGTGCATGTCAGTCGCATTTACCAACATACTAGAGGGGGGCATCCCGTCAATTCTAGCGAGATATAACTGAGACAAGACCGTCATCTCTGAATCATTATCTTCACGCTCTATTCGTTTCGGTTTTCGATATTCGGTACAATGACAAGCCGGTTAAAGTGCCGATAGTACTGTTTGGGTTTCGATGATGTGGCTGTGTCCGTAAACATCCATGTACTCGCACACGGTATCTAACACACTGGTCGTAGGAGCACTGGAATAGGGCCAGTGTTTTAGACTTTTTTGGTTGACTCATTCCAACTGGTCTAATATGTTTGGAGGCAGTTGGCTTTCTCTAATAGTGACCCCCATCGTTGTCCCATGCTACATATTCATTTTGGATCCGCGCGCGGAAAATCTGAGGTGTTTTTGGCCATTGGGTTTCCAAAACTGGCTGATCCCAGCAAATTTGTAACTCACCTACCAAGGAATGGTTTGGCTGGCAAATACTTCAGTTGCGGAAAATATCCGACACCACGGAGTCCGATAGGTGGGTTGTCGGCTACGCATTTCGTACCGTCTTCTTAGGGGCGCGCAATCACCGAGGTGAACAGCGCCTAATTTCGCAAAGCAGTAGAAGAGGGATTGCGAAAAGTCTGTACAGTTGGTGTTGTATACCTTTCCAGGATGGGTGCCCTCCTGTGCTTGCCTGAAGATTTTGCGATACGTGATCCCCACTGACGTCTGCGGTGTTCGTTCACCTGTCCAGATTGTCTTAGTGAATTTTTGGAGGTTCGCATATCGTAAGATGCTTGCGGCAGGTTAGCACCGGGTATGATCCTTGTACACGTCCCCCCTGGGTGCTTTTGAAACGAATTTTCCATGTTTCTTCGCCGTGAACGTCCGCTGCCACCATTGTTATTTCGCCCCTAGACAGCCTGCATTCCGGAAACTGACTATGTTTTTAAACCTGAGGTTGTTGTGCTTCCGCTTCTCCGAGCAACGGACACCTTTTGTTTGTACCCTCTAGGTGGCTTCGAGTCTGGATGTTTTTTTTCACTTGACGTTCTGCACTTCAATGTGCGATCCGCTACTTTACTGATCTATTTTGACACGTCATTTTTCTCTTTCTTACCTAGAGCGCTTGAAAGCTCCAGTGATGAATCGGAAAAGATAAAGGAAAGGACCAAACACCGGAAGTCCAAAACCAAGAAACACAGGAAACGATCTCCCTCACCGTCTTCNTCGGAAGAGTCGAAAAGGGCTCAGATTCAGAGAGGGATGAAAGTGACAGGGAGCACAAGCGCCGCAAAAGGAAGCACCGTTCCTCCGTCAAAAGCCATTCGAAGAAGCGAAAGCACTCTCACTCCCATAGACGCAAGCATCGGCACTGACCTCTTGAGGCCCGATCCATGTACAGTCTTTCTCGGCTCAGCGATTTTTTTTCGAAATCTCCACCGGCACTGTGCTACTTATGTGTGATATGTTGCGAATTTATTGTATTATACACCTCTTCTTTACCCACTGGTGTTCCACGTTACTTTTCGGACTAATTTACAAATAGCTGCTCGTTTTCAAGTTTAAGTCTCATGTGCAGTCGCGTTTAAACGGCACCCGTTAGCGCTTTACTAATCATGGGTTATTTGTGCACCGTTTTCTTGCATCCGCTTGTTCGCTTTATTGCCGACTTCGGCAGAAGGGCGAACGTCACAGCGGTAGACCGTTTACAACCGTGCACCCCACCCAGATAGACGAGGTCGCTATTTCGATACCCCCTATTTTTCTTTCTAGAGAACACGAAATTCAGCTAGGCTTGCAAATCGCTGTTTCGCCTATCAAGTGAGATAAAGCTCATCTGGGCCGGTTTGCTTTAAGTGTCCTGGAAATTCGTGCAATTCCCCGCAGTTGATGGCCGTGCCCAATTTTTTTAAATTTCAGTCTCTGCAGCCGTCCGGTGCCGCCGAATTCAGCAGTTATTTCTTTTGACTTCAGCTGAATAAGCGGATGGTTGTTGTTGATTTCGCATACATCTTCGGAACAACTTCGAGTTCTCTTTTTGAGCTCGAGATACCTCAGTGGTTAAGGCGCGAATTCACTGACCGAAAGGTCCGTGGTTAAAATCCGACATGTGCCTCCCGACTTCCCCTGTCTAGGGTTGGGCAACCTGCGAGTATCTCAATCCCCGTGCTTCCTTCGGGTGGCGTGGCAACTAGGCGTCGGAATGGTGCTACAACTGAACGTTTCTTTCTTTGCAGCGTCAGATAGGTCCTACTGGAGCTGAACAGCCCTTCGTTCCGTCCTAGCAGTAATGTCCCTGGTCTTCAGCTGGGAGGCGCACTTCACGAGAGTAACAGTTGCAACCACTACTGTTGCAGTTAACCTACATAGGACACTTGTTTAAGAATAATCTTCATGTAAAATCGTAGTGAATTTTCGGAAAGTCCGTCTGAGTATAAGATCTATTCTCAAATAAGACGCTTTGTGACTTGCCACCGGTTTTTTTTACTGGATCTCAGTTGGCTTAACGACGTGAGCCGCAGAGTGCATCCGGGGCATTCCCATCCACCCACGATGCAGACTTCAGGAGTACTGCCCTGAAGCCTTAGTTAATCATATGTTGGTCGGCTCCAATATGTCTGCATCATTTTTATGGAAATTTAAGTTTTTCAGGATCTAGCTCTTAGGCTGATCGTATGATTTGGGTCCTTGTGTTACTGAACATGTTGGACGTTAGTCGGCAATCTGGGTAAGCATGCTGGACTTACTGGGTTGCTTTACTGGATATCAATTCTATAAGGCGAATGCAGATGCACCCACACACTTCGTACACAGTTATCCGGGTCCGAGCATATTTATCGCACTGCAGTCAACCACACACAGCGAAATGGGTGGGTTGTGGGCGAATTTCTCTCAGTCGCTAAAGAACCAGCGCTCTGGGTTTCCAATATCGGTCAAACGGAACCCCAAACCATGGTTTGCACCTTCAGTCCGGTTTAAACATCAGGGGCGATATATTCATTTAGAGCTTGTTTGAATCGCAAGTTAACATCGATCCACTTTCCAGTCAAGTAAGTATTAAAGCCATTCTAAAGGCTTGAATGATAGCGCATCTTTTCAGTTTGCGACTGGACTTGACAATACTTCCTCCGACGGGTAGAAATATTCAACAGAGGCGTATGATTGCCATCATGGTCCATATCAAGGGAAGGCAATATTTTTATTGTGATCGCAATTAGCATTGATATTGTAATTGGTATTGTGTTTGTAATTTGAACACGTGGTTGGCTGGCACGCGGTACAGCTTTGTTTGTTGGTGGTAGTAGTCCCACTGGTCGTTCGCGCGTAATCAGGATGAAGCAAACGTTAGGTACGCGGCTGGATGCGCTAGTGCGGTTGACTCCCCGAATCCGGCGCAAAACCAGAGAAAGAGATCGGTGGGCACGTTCGCACAGACCCTTTTAGCATTCAGGCAAGCTAAACATGATGGCCATACCATGAGCGCTAGCACCGCATTGAGCAATTGGATACAGGTACCGTCTGCCCGTTCCTCTTCATCTCGATATAATACCATAATTCAAAGATATGAGTGCAATAAATGACTTCGGCTCCGGGTAAGATTTTTCTGGCGTTTTAGCGCTGAACTTTCGGCGAAGTTTCATTATGGAGAAGACGCTAAACAAACCCACAACCGATCGTTTTAAAGACCGTCTACACCTCACCAGTAGGCTAGTCGTGCGTGTTGGCGGCATCATTGCTGATAGCGACGGGTGCTTGGGGGAAGGCATGAGAGGCCGCGCTCCGTCGTAATGGTAATTCTTCAGGCGTAACTTCGCAATGCAAGGTCTCCATACCACTAAGGAAGTGCGCTGGCTGAGCTACTCCGTAGTTGCCTAAGTTCAGACAGAAACAATCGAAACAGCCAAGGTTAGCTTCTAGTCATAGACCTTCCAGTCAGTGAATTTGAGTTTCAACGGCTTACTTATTTCGAACCGGATGTGGTAATGAAGCAGTGGTGTTGCAGTAGGTCTAAACACATCGGTCAGAGACCGAGTACAAATTGCTTGGCGCTCGGTAAAAACGGAGGGTTATCCACCAAGATAGGGAACACAAACTTCGTCATCATTTGAAATCGGTACATCTGGATAAATTCTTAAGTTAGGAACTATATCTGACATCTTTAGCCATTGAGCTTTGTACAAATTGGCTACGTCTCAGAGATCTCATCCTGAAAATTTGAAGTGTTTTAATTCATACTTCGTTGTGTTTTTGGGCTAACTTGTCATATTGGTATGTTCTTAGGAGGAATACAGAGGGGTTTAGATGGACTGCCAATCCTCGGTACTTGCCTGTCTAGCCACAGGATTGTAACGGTGGTGTGCAGCGGTGACAGCAGACCCGGATGCTAGAAGACCCACGTTCTTATGCAAGGTAGTATGCATTAATAACCCGTTGAAACGCATTAAGTTCAGGTGCAAGTGGAGTCGTCAGTTCAGTAAATGCTAGAGTTACACAAACAGTGTAGCCCTTCTGAACTCCAGATTAAAATCCGACAGCCTCAGTGTACCCGGCTGGGTTTAGGGAGAAAGTATGCTTTCAGGCTTTGTCATTGACTTGTGTTTATTTTGCTATTCAGTTTCACCTTGTGGTTTGTCAGTTATCTTACCCTCACTGTTTGAGATGAACTTTTTTCTCAACCGTCCGTGACCTAATGGAAGCGAGAGAAAGTCAGTCACCGTGAAGTATACCTTACTAAAGATTGGTCGGTTGGAAAGAAAAAGTGGGATATACCCGTACATCCAGTAGTACTTGATATCTCCCGTATCAGTTCTGCACGAAATTCGAGTGATTTTACCTCATGGCTAAGTGGGCCACCAGAATGAGCACTAATTGCGCAGCCATATGCGACACCAATCGTGTATTGCTTTCAACTTCCTCTGTGGAGCTACACTGTGAAATTGATAGAATTTCGCGAAATGGTATTTTTTCCTTCCTGGGTTTGACATCCTTGAAAACCAACTCAACCATGCCTAAAAATACGAGCTCTTTACGACCGGTCGTTCTTTACATGAATTCGCTGAGGAGAGTCTGAACTCGAAATATTTAGCCAAGTAGCTGAATATCTTACATCGGAGCAACGCATGAGTGGACAACTGTGTGATAGATTTTGAATCACGCAGGCTCAGCTCGTTCATTAGGGCGTACCCTCATCCACGGTAATGAATATTTGGTGTGAGGACCCAATACCCGGGTTATTACTCATATTTCGGAAGTAGCGCGGGGCTACGCTGCATCCTTTTTCAACCATAACGAGACATAGGAAGGTAGGGTCTCGTTCGGTTGCTCTTTCTAAACTCTTGGCTCTTGAAGAAGGCTACGACATTAATCCATAATCTTGTTTCCTGCTCCAAACACACTCTTAGCATTTGCCTTAACAGGGCGGACTAATCAAGGCGCCAAAGAAGTCATTCAAGGGACGATTTCGTTTGGAATCCAAATTTTCTCATGCGTTCATGTCAAGGTAACAGAGGTCAATCCATGAAAGTTGTTTGTCAGTGCGATGCCAAAGCTGGCTTCAGTGAGCCTAAAAGTACTGCGATATCTCGAATGTCGTACATGTCGACAGTTATTCCTGTCTTCAAAAATGGCGTGGATTCTGTGTGAAAACCACCGTGGTATCAGCCTGGTAGCTGTGGCGTCCAAAATGTTCTCTGGCGTTATACTTCGAAGGTTAAGTGAACACAAGGAGAGATAGACCCGTGAAAAGCAGTCTGGGTTATGTCCTGCAAGAGGATCGACCACATTTTCACCCTCCGACAGATTCTGGGACAGCGGCACTGCTTCCAGCAAACAACAACGGTGATCTTAATTTACTCGGAAGCTACCTTTGACTCTGGACCATCAGACACATTTGTAGTATCTATCAAGGAGAGATGTCCCCATAATTTTTGGCCCCCTAGAGGCAGTGCACTCCAACTCTCGCGGACGTGTGAAGGTCTCCAGGAAGCTCTATGCCAAGCTCAGCACATCAAATGTTGTAAGTCAAGGCTTCCTTCTTCCAGACTTGCTCTTCAACTTCGTCATTGATACGATTATGGAGAACTCAGTACCAAACTCTAATGCTATTGGGAGTAATGTGCTCCCGAGGCACTCGCTCACTGAGTACGCAAATGGCATAGCCCTTTTTGGATCTGACGCCGTGGTAATGCAAGCAATATTAAATAATCTAAATAATTCTGCCTCACGATTTGGCATGCACTTCACACCGGAAAAGTCTAAAGTGCTACTGCAAGACTGGGTGGGCTCGAACCCTAGCCCCATGCTTGCGAATGAGCCGATCGAGGTAGTAGACAAATTTGTTCACCTGGGCAGCTGCATCAGTCCCGGTGGTTTCGTGAAAGATGATATTTCCATCCGAATTGGGCATGCAAGAGCAACTTTTGTGGCATCACCTGTGGCATAGGCGTGACATTAGCTTATCCATC